AGGCAGGTTAAAAAAAAAAAAAAAACCCTCTCAAAGTAGAACTCCCCCGAGTGGCGCCTGGAGGCGGTTGAGGGCGGGACCACTACACTGCAGAGTCTTTGGCTAGCTCAGTCTTCCTGTGACCTTGGTCAAGGAAATTCCTTCACTTCCGAAAGCCTCAGTAGCCACAACTGTAGAATGGGGACGGAAATCGCTCCTTCCTAGAGAGCCCCACTAAAACCAGAAGAGACAAGAAGCAAGAAATCAAATGGTCACATTAGGATGGTTGGAAACCAGTGTCCCTGAAAGGCAGGCTCCTTCCCAAAGCAGGCCAGAAACAGGTTGTGGGGTTCCGGGAAGCTTCCACAGCTACCTATCCCTGGGAATGGGACCTACGGGCTGAGACTCGGACACCTACGCCGAGAGGGACCTCTTTCATACCCCTCCTACTCCTTTGTGTCGCACTCGAAGGGGCAATGGGGGCGAGAGGCCAGACCGCAGCGCCGGGACTGGGACGCTGTGACTTTAAGAGCTGAGGATCCTGGACCATGTGCTCGGCGTGAGACAAAAGCAACAACAAAGGAAGTGGCGGCCACAGGGGGAGGGGGCGGCTCCTTCCTCTCAACCGCAGCGCTCAGCCTCAAGAGGAAAGACCCGGCCCGGCTTTGAGGGGTGCCCGGATCCCAGGGGGTCTCACCGCCTCGAGTCCAGACCGCACTTGATTAACCCCTGAGGACCCAGGTGGATCACGGGTCCCATTCCCCAGGGAGGGGAACAGGAGTTTCAGGGGTGCGGGAATTAAGAGTTTGAAGCCCTAGCCCCGACTCACCTTCGGCCTCCCGGCCACACGTTGACTCCTTTGTTCACGATCTAGGACGGCTAAACTGGGCAGGGGGGAATTAACATAGTGAAAATTGCCATATTTTCAAAATGGCTATGTAGATTCAATGCAATCCCAAATGAAATACCAGCAGTATAATTCACAGACCTTGAGAAAACAATTCAAAAATGATTTTGTAACAAGAAGATACCTAGAATAACAAAAGCAATTCTAGGCAATAGAGCAAGTGTGAGGGGTGTCACTATCCCTGACTTGAAACTACACTACAAAGCTACTGTGATAAAAACAACATGGTGCTGGCAAAGAAACAGATCTGAAGACCAGTGGAACAGATTACA